AGTTTCCTTCCATATATAAACCTTTCCTTGACATTTTACAATAATGAACTAATACTATATTTGTCTTTCTGTGATTTTAAGGAAACATTCTTGAGACATATTTCTTGGTAAGGTTTTGGAGAGTGAATATTTTTAAACATTAAAACTCTTCTCCACCTTACCAAATAATCAAAGTTGGCATCACCAGTAATAAGACATGTCATATCACATACCCTCTGATAACATGCAATGAAGAAAACACTTCATCTCTATAATATTCAGCCCAAAACTTCATAGCCTCAACATAACCATGAGAAAACATCAAACAAGCTCCAATTGAGAAACAGTCTACAAAATTCCTGGCCAAAACTCTTCAAAACAGTAAATGTCATGAAAGACAAGGAGAGACAAAGAAAAAATTGAAATAAACAATGAAAACATAAGGACCAAATGCAATGTGGCATCCTGGATTGGACCCTGGGGAAGAAAAATGGACAGTAGTGGAGAAGTCTAGAGTTTAGTTAATTGAACCAATGTTATTTTCCTAGTTTGATAATTATACTATGGTTGTTAGATGTTGACATTAGAAGAAACTTAATGAAGGGTAATGAATTGCTCTGTTATCTTTGCAACTCTTCAGTAAACCTAAAATTATTTCAAAATTAGAAAATCTTTTCTGATACATAAGTTAATAGGATATTATAATTTAAATGACCATATCATTTAAATAGGATATCTTCATTTTTAAAGTCATTGCAAAGTTTCATATATATATATCCCTATAAATTTGCCATAAATTCTTTAATAGGTTAGTTTTCTCATATCTTTCTGATATACAAAGTACTTTTATATCCACTTTCTCACTTAGTCCTTATGACAACTACTTGAGATAGATAAAAGAAGTGTTTATGATCAGATTTGAAGATTTGTTGTGCCAGATCATTGTTGATAAGATTTGCCCCTCTAATATGCATAAGGGGTAAATTCATCTTAGTGGTCCCACTCTTCTCAGAGTGAAGACTACATTTATGCCTGTCTGTCTGTCTGTATTTATTTAGACAGCTCTCCAACAGAATAGAGATGTAGTTTCCAGAATCTTTGATTTTAAAAGTGCATAAGTTATCATTTCTTCTTAGACTGCCAAGTTTCATTCTGCAATAAAGCCTCCCAGGACAAAGTTTGAGAACATCTGTTGAATATTTAAACACAAAAAAATATCCTCTAATATAATCTAATCTGTTTGGAAAAAAAGCACTACAAATAATAAAGCATATATCTTAATATGATAGCACCTTCAAAATTTAAGTAAAATACAATACAATAAACAAAAATCACTGCTAAATGAAAGAATTCCTCTTCATTTGAAATTTCAGAAGTTTCTTTGGTATATCTACTATCTTAATATCAATGTGCACAAAACTTAATCTTACATAGAAAAATATGTATCTTACATAGGAAAACAATGTGGTATAGATAAAAGCAATTAAACTTAGGAAGGATAGACTTGTATTTGCCTTCTGTCATCTACCTGCTATGCAACTTGAGCAAGTTGCTTAATCTTTCTGAAGCAGTTTACCATTCGATAAGCAGAGACCATTTATCACTTGCCTATGGAAACTCAATTTTATGTCAGTGCTAGAGTTTGGTTTTGGTTTCAGAATGACCACTTTAGATGTTCTCTAATCCTTGGACTAGTTTTGGCCATTTTGAATCAGACAGCCATATGATCTACTATGCAGGGAATGACAATTTGAAGAGAAATGGCATGGCATTCATCATCACAAAGGCTGTTTCAAGATCTGTCCTGAAGTACAACGCTAACAGTGAAAGGATAATATCCATATACCTACAAGGAAGACCAGCTAATACTACTATTATTCAAATTTACTCATCAACCACCAGAGCCAAAGATGAGGAAACTGAAGATTTTTACCAACTTCTGCAGTCTGAAATTAACCCAACATGCAATCAAGTTGTGTTAATTACCACTAGTGACTGGAATACAAAAGTTGGAAACAAAGAGGAATCACCAATAGCTGGAAAGCATGGTCTAGGTTACAGAAATAAAACCTGTCCATTTCAGCTCACTAATGCCTAGGATATCAATCTTTATGTGTTCCATTTTTGACAGCTTCCAATATTCCTAGATTCATACTTTGTACATTCCATGTTATGATTTTTAATGGATGTTTGTAGCTGTTTCTTCTCCATTTGAGTCATGCCATGTCAGCACATGGAGGTCCTGAAAGACTTACTTTATCCATATCATTAAGGTTGGTTCTACTGTGATGAGACAGCTCTTTCCCAGCCCAATTTTGAGTGTCTTCTGACCCAAGGGGCTCATCTTCCTTCCCTGTGTCGAACAATGTTTCTGAGCTATTCATAAAGTTGCCCAGTAATGCATCAGACAGTGTTTCTCTGCTATTCATAAGGTTTTCCCTGCCCAATTTTTGAGAAGAGAGTAGCTAAAGGAAATCGAAGAAATGACACATAAAAGAGGTGAACAGAAGATTTCAAAGAGCATCTCGAGCAGAAAAAGCCAATTACTATAATGAAAAGTGTAAAGACCTGGAGTTAGAAAACCAAAAGGGAAGAACACACTCAGCATTTCTCAAGCTGAAAGAACTGAGGAAAAAATTTAAGCCTCGAGTTGCAATATTGAAAGATTCTATGGGCAAAATATTGAATGATGCAGGAAGCATCTAAAGAAGATGTCACTGTACCAAAAAGAACTGGTCGATCTTCATCCATTGCATGAGGTGGCATATGTTCAAGAACCAATGGTACTGAAGGAAGAAGTCAAAGCTGCACTGAAAGAATTGGTGAAGAACAAGGCTCCAGGAATTGACAGAATAGCCATTGAGATGTTTCAAGAAACAGATGCACCACTGGAGGCACTCACTTGGTTATGCCAAGAGATTTAGAAGACACCTAGCTAGCCAACTGACTGGAAGAGATCCATATTTGTACCCATTTCAAAGAAAGATGATCCCACAGAATGTGGAAATTATCGAACAATATCATTAATATCACATGCAAGTAAAATCTTGCTGAAGATAATTCAAAAATGTTTGCAGCAGTATATTGACAATTGACAGAGAACTTCCAGAAATGCAAGTTGGATTCAGAAGATGACATGGAATGAGGGATATCATTGCTGATGTCAGATGGATCTTAGCTCAAGGCAAAGAATACCAGAAAGATGTTTACTTGTGTTTTATTGACTATGCAAAAGCATTTGATTGTGTGGATCATAACAAATTATGGATAACATTAGGAGGAATGAGAATTCCAGAACACTAAATTGTACTCATGAGAACCATGTACATAGACCAGGAGGCTATCACTCAAACAGAAAAAGGGAACACTACATGGTTTAAAATCAAGAAGGGAGTGTGTCAGGGTTGTATCCTTTCACCATACTTATTCAATCTGTATGCTGAGCAAATAATCTGAGAAGCTGGACTATACAAAGAAGAACGTGGCATCAGAATTGAAGGAAGAATCATTAACAACCTGTGATATGCTGACAACACAACTTTTTTTTTTGCTGAAAGTGAGGATGACTTGTAGTACTTACTGATGAAGATTGAAGAATACAGTCTGCAGTATGGATTACATCTCAATATAAAGAAAACAAAAATCCTCACAACTGGTCCTATAAGCAACATTAAGATAAATGGAGAAAAGATTGAAATTGTCAAAGACTTCACATTGCTTGATTCTACAATCAATGCCAATGGAAGCAGTAGTCAGGACATTAGACAACATATAGCACTGGGCAAATTGACTGCAAAGGACCTTTTTCAAGTGTTGAAGAGCAAAGATGTCTCCTTGAGAACTAAGGTGCACCTGGCACAAGCCATGGTATTTTCAATTGCCTCATATGCATATGAGAGTTGTATGATGAATAAGGAAGATAGAAGAAGAATTGATGCTTTTGAGCTGTGATGTTAGCGAAGAATGCTTAAAGTACCGTGGACTGCTGAAAGAACTAACAGGTCTGTCCTGGAGGAAGTGCAGCCAGAATGTTCCTTGGAGGAGAGAATGGCCAGACTTCATCTCACATACTTTGGTCATGTTATCAGAAGGGATCATTCCCTGGAGAAGGATGTCATGCTTAGTAAGGTAGAGGGTTGACGAAAGAGAGGAAGGCCCTCAATGAGATGGTTTGACACAGTGGTAGCAGTGATGGATTCAAGTATACCAAGAATCTTGGAGCTGGCTCAGGACCGGGCAGTGTTTTGTTCTGCTGTGTATAGGGTCACTATGAGTCGGAGATGGCACATAACAACAACATTACAAGCTGCTTTACCTCCAGCCATTTCCCCCTTGCCTCCCATCTCTTGTGTATTCTAGCTATATCTGATAAATGGTTATTCCTCAAACATGCCATGTTCTTCCAGGTCTCAAGCTATTGCTTCTCTCTGTTTTACTGATGAAAGCCCATTTAATTTTCAGTGCCCACATCCACTATCACTTTCCCTGCTGGCATTCTTAGTCCAAGGCAAAATGTATTGCTGCCTTATTTGTGTTCTCTAATATTTTTATAACTACTCATATTACTTATCACTTTTTTGTACAATCATTTGCTTATATTTCTGTATTCTCAACTTGAGTCAACTTCCTCAAGAATCCCTCCTATGTTTTATTTAGCTTTGTGTTTCCGGTCACAGTACATGCACTAACATAGTGCCTGGTAGAGAATAAGCACAAATTTCTGCTTAATTAAGTTAAATAAAATTCTAGACATTTTGTACAATAGGTCAAGTTCATCACCTGGCTTCTTCCAATCTATATTGTATATTATTCAAACCAACAATGAGCACAACAATTAGATTATAAAGCATAATGTTCCTAATGGATGGGATGTTTTAGTGTTGCTCGCTTTTTTTCCTTCTTGCCATGTCATTGAAGTGCCTTAAACATGCAGCCAAATTCACATAGAGCAATTCCTCTGTTCTTATCAACCTGCCACAGCCTAAGAAGCCCTCAGTGTGTCTCTGGCTTTTGCCCCAAACATGAGGTTCAAATTCCCTCTAATGGCCCTTGCCCTGGAGGTGGCTATGATTATTTTATTTGGATTATTTGTTCAGTATGAAACGGATCAGAACATCCAACATTTCAACAACTCCAAGTCAGTAGCCTCCGACAGATTCCTTGAGTTATATCCTTGTAAGTATGCAATCTACTTCTTCTTTTATATTTTTGGGCTCTTCAGGTTCTTAGAAAATTCAGTCTTTAAATATTTTAACCTCTTGAGCTCCACATATGAGCTCCTTGTAGAATTAGGTGATAATTATATGTTTTTTTTTGCTGTGGCTCCCTATCATTATATGTTCGGTTATAATCTGTTTCTGTTAAGATATTAGAACAAGAAACTGATAATCAAAATAATTGTTAGTGTTGTCTACTTGTCAGTAAAAGATCTTTTTTATTCTCTTGAATTGAACATTAGTTCTATAAGGTATAAAAATGTGACACACACACATAGGAAAGCCAAAGGGAACTTTGGAAGACGGAATAGAAACAAAATAGAGTAGTGAGAGAAGACCCTGGATTACATGTTGGGATCCTAGGATATAAGAAGGGGTGTTTCGTTTGATATAAGAAGTTAATGGAGTTTTGGTTGAAAAAGATGCTCTTGGAGTTTTACAATATTCTGAAAGAAATACCATTTTTCCCTTTGAAATTAAAAAAAAAAGAAAATGTGAACACACATAATATATATTAAAATAAGAATCCTTCCCTTCAATTGTGACTGAGGATAGAATGCATTAAAGTTTCAAGTTTGGAAGTACAATCTATAAGATATTTCATATATCAATAATACCTACTATTTACTGAGCAGCAAGCATGTTCATTACTTCATTAACCAGGGAGGTAGGTAGTAGTAGATCCCCATCATATACATATTTTGTTTTTGAATTAAGTTTAAATAAAGTAAATTTTTTTAGTATTTCAAATAGTAGAAACCCTTATTTTAGTTTTATAGCATAGGTTTAAGGCTTCTCAAAAATAATTTGATCTGTGTTTTATCATTCCTGCTGCTTTTTGAGGGAGTTAATACAATTATTTTCCATTTGTTATCCACAGTTATGATGTAGAGCTGCTAAGTGACTTAGTCAAAATGCACAACTGCAAACTAAGGGCAGAATTAACATCATAACTCAGAGACACAGAATCCAAGTCTAGTTTCCTACACTTTAAACAGATATCCAAAAGGGCCCTCGATTAAATATGCTTTATAAGTTGAAAGTTAATGATCACTTGAACAGAGCAGAATTCTGTTCACCTTCAACCCTCTGTGATTTTTCACATTTCACTTATTCATCCATTTACTCATTTAATCAACATTTTTTGCTGTGTAACATCAAATTTATACAAAGATAAACCAACATGATCCTTTTATTCTAAGATATAACTGCCTGGTACACATGTAAATAAAGAAATATATATATATATTCATATAAAATTTTATGTGTATATAATATTTATATATAT